AACTTGCTGAGGGAGCACTCAATCCCCTTATTTAGATCATTGATACATAAGTTCCCACCAAACACTGACATGGCCATCTTTTACAGAACTGGCATTTGGTGCTTGTAGATAGGCATATGCTGAAACAACAATACAGAAATTTATCTACTACAGAAGTTTCAGAAACTTGGGACCATTTTCATCTTCAGTTACAGTATATGAGATCTGTGAAATAGATGGCATGCACATAGACTTCTTTGAGTCATATATAATACCGGTTTTGAATATGTGCAGCACTGCATTTCTTATATAGCAGGGTAAATTATTAGGCTTTTTTGCTTTATCATGTGCTTATTTGCTCCTAGTGATCTCCTCTGTTAGAACCAATGCATGCACTCAGGCAGGAGATTATCAGGCAGCTAAACTGAGGTGTGTAAGATAATAAGATCAAACAAATGGACCATAAATACAGCGAAAGGGAAAGGGAAGGAAGGGAGTGAGTAATTTTAGACATTGGCTTTCCATGCATGTTTAATTTTAAAGACAAATCTTGGCGCCTCCCCCTTCAGCCAGGTCTGCTGATAAATGATGCAAGTTGGCTTGGTGAGCACTTCTGCCAGCTCCCTCGGGACCCTGGGGTGGATCCCATCTGGCCCCATAGACTTGTGTATATTTAAGTGGTGTAGCAGGTCGCTAACCACCTCTTCATGGAATGATTTGGACCTTCATCGCTAGGTTGGTTATGGCCATCTCTTCTCCTTTTTGAATTTTGGGCTGGTTTAGAGTTAGCTTGGTGGTTTTTACGGGCTGGGCCTGGTTCTAGGAGCAAAACTGGAGCTTGTCCAAATGTTGTGAGTCTGGAGAACTGGCTGTGGACACCGAGGTGATGTAAGTGCCTGTTTAGCACAGGGCTGTAACGCTGCTGGAGTGCCCCATTTGGTGACTGTCCCGGCACTGGTTCTTCCCAGCCTTTCTGGAAACACAGAAAATGCCACGAGCAGAGATTAAAAAGGATGCATTTGAATGATCCAACATGTTTTCCCTGAATCTGTAGGGATTTTTTGTAAGCTTTTCAACGGAATCGCCTCCAGCCTTGACTTCCTGAACTTCGATGGGTGTTTGCAGAACTCGAGGAGCTGTGAGTTTAAAAATAAACCTGAGGCTGCCCATCCAGCTCATTTTCCTCATTAGAAACAAAGCTGTTTCACTGTGGGTCTGCTTTCCCTCTGAGAGGATGGAAAGTGTGCCTTCACGAGCTGGCAATCCCGCGTTAGAGATAAGGCCCTGCTCAGGAAGGGCTGCCACCCACCCATTCAGGGTTTATCCCTGTGAGATGCAGGCGATGCAGGACCGAGCCCTCCCTGGTGTTACACCTCGGAGGGAGCTGGCGAGCGCTTTTTTCCTCCATGGGAAAAAAAACACTATTTGAGAAGGTTTGTGTGCACTGGTGGGGGCAACAGCCCTGGTTAACTGGGGTGACTAAAGCTGGTCTGGGAAGTAAAGAGGGTTTTGATCTGCCTTGGAGACCATCGGAAAGTCGTGGCATGAGCCAAGAGATGCTAGAGGGGTGCTTGGCTCAGGCTTGATCTGAGATGCTGAATGAATGAAAAGGTTCCTTGTGGTCTCGATTACTGCTAAATATGCACAAATAGAGGATGGGAGAAGTGGCTTTTACTGGACCCTGCACAGCTGTGTGCCCAGTCTGCCCATGACTCCTCTGGCTCTTCTTTGGGCACATTTACTGATTCCTCTTGAGGTGAGCCACAGGTCAGTTCAGGGTGGGCATTTACTATGTATAGGGTAGTGATGCCTGATGTACTTTGCATTTTGTAGGTCCTAGCAAAATAACAGCTACCTCCCCACCACCCCTGTATTATTAACTTTTAAAACCCAAGAGTGTCTCTCCACTTCCGTTATAGGATGCTTGCTTTTACTTCTTATTTCTTTGCCCCAAATATTCCTGTGTTCTGTTAAACATCCTCTGAGCTTTGCTTTTTGAGTTTCCAACAAAAAAGTGCTGGGTAAAATCACAGGAAGTGCTGAAGATGGACAGGTGTCAGATACTTAACATGTTTGTCTCTTTATAATAGAGCCTTGTTCCCAACTCAGTTCAGAGCATTCAACATTTTCCACTGTTATTAATGCATTTTATTAAAACTAACAGTTACACAGATGAGTAAGTGTCCTCTTGGTTACAAAAGACCTTATTTTTTGACAAGCACATTTCTCAGCAATATGGAGTTTAGACCAGTCACCCACTGGAGTCAGGGGAGTCTCCCTGAGATCTGGGATGCAATCTGGTTCTAACCATTTTCTGTTTTTTCTTTCAGCAGCGAAATGTCAGGATCAAGTTTGAATATGAAGGAGAGAAAAGGTATGCACCCAGCCCAGTCCCCCACACATACAGATTACCCTTTTTACCCAATGTCATCCTTCTGACTTCAGCCAGCTGCAGATGAGCTCACAGGAGCATTAGTTCCCCTAAAATCAACTGTAGTTTTATATGCAAGAGCCTTGCCTCATCATCCCGTTTCCCACAAGGACCTCCTGGGATTTGCATCCAGGCAAAGTGGTTCCAGGCTGGAAGTCATTAAATCCCTCTTACCAGGGACAGAGGGTGCACTCTTGGATCCTTTTTTAAATTCTTGAACCGTAGCTGAGCTGCAGCTCTGCAGAAATGTGTCCTTTGAATGGCAGCCTATGACACTTACTTAAGATAACCAGACTTTGGGCATGGGTCCCATAAAAATAGAGCTGGGAGTTCAAGCTTGCCCACCCTTCCCTGCTTGACTTTTTCATGGAATCACCTCTGCTCAGTGCTCAGTGACTGTGGCAGAGCAGGACACAGGGCTGGAAACTCGCAGGCTGGTGGCCCAAGTTGCACATTAAAGCCAAAGAAAATGTAAGTAATGGCACCGTAGGACTGTACCTGCTATTTTGTACCTATAGCGCTGCTGTGTGTGATGGCAAAGGACTGTCACAGGATACCAAACTGTGTTATTCTCTCTTCCATCCCTCCTCCCTATTCAGAGCCACTTGATGGAGAGCCAGGAGGTGATAACTCACTGACCAGTGCCTGAAGCTGGTTTCATCTCCAGTGCAGGGCTGCTGGACTTTCTTCTTTTCCACCTGTACCTCACAGCAGGGGGAGGAGCAGAAGAGCTGCACTAGGATTTTTGGTAGATATTCTTGCAGGGTAGGTCAAGTCTTCTCTTGGGCATAGCAGACAAGCAGCATTTCTATGAGTGTAAAAGCAAAGAACAAGCTTTGTGCTTCATGATAGAAATGTACAGGTCCTTGTCTCTGAATTGTCAGTCTAGTCCCAAATTCCACTGTGCCTCTACTAAACTGAGACTATAACTGTATTTGTTTGTCTATACAGGATTATCCAGTTTCCAAGACCAGTCAAGTTCAAAGAGGTGGTGCAGAAGGTCACAGATGCTTTTGGACAGACGATGGACTTAGTCTGTGTGCACAATGAGGTACTGTTCTTCTTGCTAAGAGAGTTTTAGGGTGCCTGATGACCACTTCAGAATTGAGCAGTGCTTTGGTCTTAAGGCCTTAATTTAGTGTCGTGCATGGATGTGAGGAAAAATTATTTGATTTTGTGGTTCTTAGCTAGTGAGCATACAAGAGCCGTTGTCCAGCCGTTTTCCCTAGAAGGGGAAACCCTCGGCATCTGTTTTGGTGTGCTTGGGGTTTTCTTGTGAGGCATCTTGCCATGAGCTGGGCAGGCAGCTGGAGCCACCGGATTCTTAAGGTGGGTTTGGCTTTGGGAGGGAGGAGAGGGCCAGATGACAAATAGGTGGGCTTTTATGCAAAAATTATTTTGGATCTGTCCTTGCTTGTTCAAGTATAAATTGCAAATGACTAACAGCCTTTCTTTAAAGAATGACTGGAGAGGGAGGTTGTGAAGAGAGCTTTCTCTCTCTTTTTTTTCCTCTTTTTTCTTTTGATCCCTTCTGTTTCAATGGAAATTTGATCCACCAAAAAGCTGCTATTCTTTATAATAGGTACCTCATGATACCAAAGTGTCTGCTGGGTTTTGGCTTTGAATGCAGTCAGGTTTCTAATCTTGGGCATCCTCTGACGGCCCTCCCGGGAAAAGCCTGCCATTGAATTCTTCAGGAATGACTCATTTCATTCCAGGTTTCTTTCCACTGGAAGAGGAATTTTTTCCAACAACAGCAAACAGAAGCTTAAATAATGCATTTTATCCCATGTTACAGACTCTCTTCCTGGGCATGTGCACGGCACATAGCAGGATCATGAGCAGGACTTTGGGTACTCCTGACTTCTTAGAGCTGAGGAGAACTTTCAGTGTTTTACTTTTCTATACATAATTCCTCCTGGTGAGAACCTACACATTTTGAAAGAGGTTTGAGCAGTAGAAATTCAGGGTTGTTTTTGTGGAAACACTATAAACAAGTAAAAGTGACCTTTGGGGAGATGGCCTACATGTCCACATGGTTGACTCTCCAGCATCTGGCTCCTAGTGAGTTCTGGGTCAGGTTTTTGAGTCTCAAGACTGCAAGTCTCAGAGGTAGCCTGACCACAGACTATTACAATTAAACATTTCACCCCTTCTTTGTGCTCAAAGGCAACTGCGCAGCAATTTTTTGTTGTCATCAGATGTTTCTCTTGCAGTCGCACCTTGTAGGCCAGAATTACACTGAGGTCAAGAGACCTCTGCAAAAGCTCATTAAATGGCAGTCCCTGTCCCAGTGAAGCAGGAGTCCTGAAGCCAAGATGAGGGAGATGAGCCTGGCAGCTGGGTGGAGCAGGGGCACACATGAATCACATCCTGGTGGGCCCATGGAATCGGCAAGCTTGGGCTGGTACAGATAAGAGAGGAGCCTGGCCGTGGGTGTACCACAGGGGACGTGTCTGAGTTTGATCTGTGTGCACTGCTGAGCCACTTTGTCCCATCTCCATCACCAACCTGTGACCCTGGGCAGAGCACTGAACCTCCATGTGCCACCAGTTCCCTTCTGAGCCCCCTGTGCTTGTCTCCTCTGAGGCTGTCCCTCAGCATCGTTCTGGAGGGTTAGAGAGAGTTAAAGCCTAAGGACGTGGTAGAAGCTCCATTACGGGGAGGAGGAGAGGAGAGGTGTTTAAAAGCATATTTAATGCTTAATGAGAGTTGTTGGTGCCAGTTGGTCCTGCACTGGGCAGGAAGATGAACTAATTGACCTCTCAGATTTTTCCCCAACCCTGTTTCCTACTATTCTTTGGCTTTCTGTGGTGTCTTACAGAGTGAGATCTAGCAAGGCTGTTGTGGTTGGTGAAAACTCGCCCTTTGCACTCACTTTCTTACGCTGCAGTGGATTGAACTGCCAAGTCCCATACTAAAACATCAGGCTCCAGGAGAGTACGCTATTTAAAAGCGAGAAGAAAATCTATTAAGCTCTATTTAGTGAAACTTCTGTGTAGGTAAACTTTGCTGTTCACCACAGCTGCTCACTCTGTAGACAGAAAAACCCCATTACTGGAAATGCTCCCTGGCAATTACCTCCGTGGTTCTCCACGAGTCTATATTTAGTTTTGTTTCTGGTGGGTATCTGCTCCTGATATCCCTGTGTGCCACAGTCTAGAAGCCAAACGGAGCAAAAATTTACTTGCCAGATGTGGGTAATATGTAAAGCCAAGCTAAATACTGGCTCTAGTCCTTTTTACAGGAGGGCAATTGCCACCTGGTGTTTTTGGCTCCTCTGAAGCAGGCGTGCAAACGCGTTAATGTTGTGACATTGGAGTGAGATGGAGTGACCTGCAGAACATTTTGTTCAGAGCAGCAGCTGAGGGATTGCAACTCTAAGCACTTGCAGGGAGGTCAGTAAAGGGATGGGTGAGCAGTGGGACCACATTTACAGTTCAGAGTCAAGTTCTACATGGTGGCGAAGTGGTTTTGGGCAGCAGCTCTCCACCATTCTCATTTCTGTTTTCGTGAGTAGAAGAGAGAGGGCTTTTTGGCTTGATGCACCTGTGGAGCCCTTGTGAACTTCAAGAGAGTTAAGCAGTGCACCAAGAGAATATTCCTTAAGCTCTGCTGCTTAAGGAAACAGGCTGTGAGGACAGCTGCACAGCATTTGGGAGACATGTTCAATACCATCCTTGTCTGGTGTCTGCGGTGACCATGGATGATTCATTCAGATCCCAGAATTTAACCATGAACCATGGTCTGACCATTTACTCCACTGCCCTACTGAAAGCCCTGAATAGTTGGTATCTGCCTGGTGAGTACTTCCCTTTCATTCACCTCCAAACCCTGTCCCAGACTGGGAATCTGTTTCCAGCCCTGCTTGAGAGCCCAGACAAGACTGGTGCTGGTGTTCTCTGTAAACCCTTCAGCTGGTTGAGTCCCTTGCTTGGGAGGTAAAGGACATCTTCCTGAACTCTGCTTTTCCCCATCTGGTTTGGTTGAGAACTCAAGTCTTGACAGGCTGTGGGACATCCTGGGGCAAGGGTTTCTCAGGTGTTCCTCTTACAAATAACTAAATAGTTTTCAGATGAAGGCTGCACGACCTGATTATCCCTCTTCCTGGCTGAATGTGCCAAATGCTTTGCTCTACAGTCTCATCTTTCATCTTTTTGTAGAAATTTCTCAACCACATTTGCATGCCTTACATCAGAAGAGCACTCCTAGCTCAGCCTGGAGTTCATTGCTTAAATTTTTAGAGCCGATCTTGTGTTTCCTCAGCAAATACCACTGCTTCCTACAATTACACCTGGCAGCTTCATTTTCTCACCTGTGAGTGCCATTTCTGGATATCTGACTGACCCGTGCATGCTGTGGGGGTCCTGGGTCTGGACCCAGACCGTAAACTCCTCAGAGCAGCAGGTTGCATAAAGCTTAGGTGTTGCAGTGCTCCTTTGAGGATCTGGCTTTTAGTATCTCGAAACTGGGTGCCTAAGTTAGGTGTAAGCTCACGACTGCCTCTTGTCCACATCTGTGGAGCTTGGCTCTTTTGGTGGGATGACGATGTTAAGCCTGATGTTTAACATCTGAAATAGGTGGTCTCCACGTGGCATTGCAGATACTTCCCTGTCTGCAAAATGGGGATGAAATGCAACCTTCCTGTCACACAGGAGAAGAGAAACTCAATCCAAATCTTGAGGTGTTCATACTACAACCACGCAGGCACCTAAGAAGGAGTTTGGTGGTCTCAGTTGGTGGTCTTTGAGTTGAGGACATGACTGTAGCAGTCACCTGAAATGAAACCTCATCTCCATTGGCCAGGGCCCACAGCCTTCCCTTGACCTGGTCACCCCCAAATTCCTAGCCTCAGTGCACGCAGTCTGGGGTGTATTTACCTACAGGCCAACAGCCAAAGCCTTGGCAGCACCCTGGGATCCAAAAGGTGGACACAGGTGGCTTTGGAGTGTCCTCTGGAGCGGCTGATCTGAGGGGTGTTTGCTGTGGCTGTTGGCATGAACCCTGATCACCCCAGAGCTGCTTTTCAGGAGTTCTGGGCAGCTGTGACTCCCAGTAAGACCAATGAGAGCCTACAGGGAGCTGTGGTCACTCGGTCCCTTTGGTAGGTGGAACTGCTGTGTACTTTGGCATGAACATGAGTATAACACATGCTGTGTTGACAGGATTCAGTGCCAATGCCCGAGGCAACCTACAGAGGCTGAGGCCTGGTTTTTATGAGATGAGGCAGAACGCCCCCGAATGAGGGGCAAAATTTGTGGCTTTAATCGTAGCCCAAGGCAGCAGAAGGCCACAGAGCCTCTCTGAAGCACAGCTGTGTTGGGTGTTGGGAGCTTTACAGGCTGTCTGCAGGACGTGGTTCACCACACAGCGATGCCATGAGGGTCAGATTCCCTCTGGAGATACGAGGGCAATAGTCTGCCACTTACCAGGAAAACATCAGGAGCTTTAGCTGACTGACAGACACGGCACTGTGTAGCTCTCTTCTATTTATCTTAGAGCAGAAGCTGAGTTTGTCCTGCTGGGAGTCAAAGAAGCGGTTCTTGGAGGGAGAGCAATGCACAACTTTCACATCCAGAGGGAAGAGGCTCTCATTTGTGAGAAGTTCCCAGGTTTCACCTAATGCCCAAACACTGGGGAGATGGTGTCAGTGCGCAGGAACAGGGGCTGCAGCAGTAGGGAAGGCCACTGAGGATCTACCAGAGTAAATCCTGGGTGCAGCTCACTGCTTTCTTGGAGCACCGTTGCATGACCGTCACCTAGGAAGAATCCCAGGAAAAAATGTGTGGGGCTGCTTTAGGACGTGGTAGCAGCAGCTCCTGCCTGCAAACTGCAAGATCAGAGCAGCCCTAGAATAGCAGGCAGCAAGCCCAAGGCTTCATCTCAGCCCTCTCCTCTTCCCACCAGCAGAATTGTGATGTGACCTTTAAGCTCTCTCCTTGCAGATGTTTTTTGTTGTGATTTTTTTGTGTCTGTTCCTTAGTAGATGAGAACTTGGAAACAAGCATTAGGGCATGGGGGCTTTGTTTTCCATCCGCCTTCTCAGGTTCCTCCCTCATCCCCCGATTCCCAGGCTGCTCATGGCAAGGATCTGGCTTCCTCTGTTTACCCAAAAGTGTGACACTGCCATGCTCCGGTGTTTGTTCAATCCCTTCCAGCTCCTGATCCCGCTGAAATCCCAGGAAGATTTGGACAAAGCGATGGAACAGTTGGAGCTGAGCCCTTCCCTGAAGAGCCTGCGGATCCTTGTGAGCGCTCCAAAGAAAGCGAATGTGAGCCTTTCACCTTCTCTGCTCTTTTGTGTCCGGAGATGTCTTGTTATTGTGTGGGGGAGTGGAAACGAGCATCCTGACTGCGCAGAGCAGAGGGCAAGCTGGTCATGAGAGGGGTCAGCTCCGCTGCTGGGAAATCCTCCTGTGGTGGCAGCCCAGAGACTGAGCTCAGCTCCCTCTGGCTCCTCCTGCAACCTGTGAAGGGTTAAATCACGTCCTGACCCTCAAACAAGTTTAAACCCCAAGAGAACCTCTTGTGCTTTCTGTCTGGGGATGCTGTCACCATCCTTTGCAGCTTCCTCTCCACATACAGGGTGATGCCCTGGGCCTTACCATGCTGGGTGACTATGAGGATCATTCCCTCCATGTGGTGCTGCAGTGCTAAAAGCCAGAGACAGCAAACTGGAGAATCCTTCAGTCTCATGCAGGGCTGTCTTTTTCCCCCATATTTATTTATTTGTTTTTCCTGAGCTCAGTGGTTTTGCAGTTAAGCCTGTTAGCTTGACCTCGCCTGCACGGAGCGTCTTGCCAAAGCACATGTCGTGCTGCCCCAAGCACAGGCTGTAAAGCAAGGGATTTGCAGATGTTGCAACTCTGTTTCTTCCTTATATTTCCTAGAAGTACTGGAGAGATTGGGAGTCTTAAAACTCACATCGGTTGTCCTCATGCGACCGCTGGTGCTCGCAGCTCCTGGAACTTCTCTGCTCCTTTTAAGAGACTCTTGAAATGTGCAGGGACCAGAGACCCAGGGGAAAACTGAGCCATCAATTGGGGTTTCCTAAATCCTGGGCAGAAATGGGGCGATTTGCCTTAGGAACTGCAGGACCATTGCAGTATTACGAGTTCACTGCTTGGAGCAGAGCAGCCAGGTCGATTCATGCATACCTTTGAGAGAAGGTCAAACTCCCTGAAGCATGTAACCATGCAAGAACATGTGGTTCTGAGGCCATTCATAAAATTATCACAAAATCACAATGCACTGTAGCATGTTACCTTAGCATGACTTGACCACTAAAATTTAAGTGACCAGCTGGGTTCTCGTTTTGTTGCTTTCTCCCTGATCCATCTTCCATAGCAGAGCCCAATTCTCCAGTCTCTGTTTCTCTGCTCTGTTACAGAGGAGCCTCTGCAGTGCCCAGGCTGCCACTGAAGTCTGTGGAGCAAGGAGGAGAGGCTCTGATTTTGGGACTACAAAATTGGGTTCAGGGCAAAAATTGGGCTCAATCTCTCGATCTGTCTGGAAATAATGCAGTGTGGAAACAGTCTTTTATAGAAGATATCCGCACTTATCATTATCAGCTGGAGCCCAAATCTTATCTTATTAGAGTGCTTCAATAACAGATGTGAATTGTTTGTGAATGATTTTTGGATCACCCTAGATTACTTACATGCCTTTTTTTTAATGGTTCTTGGGTATTATGGTCATGGGGAGCCAAATACACGTTGTGTCTGCAAGAGCTCTGGCAGAGTCTGATCATTCCGTCTGTCTGATTCCCAGCTCCTGCAGCCAAACAACAGTAAACAGCACGAAATGAGGATCTCCAGGTCCATGGGTGATATCATGGGATCCCTGTACAAGGACTCCGAGAGGACGCGGAAGTATTCAACAGGTGAGTGAAATGCAACGCCCTGCACGCTGTTTTGTGCTGTTAGAAGCTGGACCACCATCCTCTTCCTCTTCCCTGTCACAACCTTGTAGCTGCTGCAGTCTGGATGGCCACTCTGATGTCTCCCACCAGTAGCTCAGTGCAGTTCCTGCTGGTGAAGTGAAGTCTGTGGTAGTTGCATTTGTGGTCTCTCAGGAGAATGGATGCACGCAGTGTTTTGCAGTGGTCACATTTCAGATGAAGGGGAGCATCCGTTTCCTTCAGAGGTGCTGGCAGTAGATACCTGCAGCCTCTGAAGCTAGGCTGGGAAATGCCTCATCTCTTCTTGCAGCCCTACAGGCACTGGAGTTTGTTCGTAGCCTTGTGTGGTCTTTTCTTTGGTTTTCTGTGCTTGAGTTTATGCATTTTTTGTTTTTGAAATGACAAGCGCTCTTGATAAGCTGCCTGCAGGACCTTTTGTGTGCTGAACCTTGTAGGATTTTATAGTCAACTGGATGCCTTGTGCAGAACTGGCAGAGCACCCCACAGGACTGTATAACAGGGATATAATTATTCATATTGCAACCTGTAGGTAGGATTAATGATTTTGTCACACAGTGAATGTTCTCTGCCATGTCTGTGGGTGCTGCTTACAGGGTAGTTTCTGCAGATTCCTACTGCTTTCATGTATTTATTCAACAGCTGTAGAAATGACAGCATCAGAAGCCTTGAATAAAGTGGGGCCCTCCTATCCAAATGTACATGAAGATAAACTTCATCCTCCAAAGATCCTCTGTACTTATATGGCAGTAAACACTTCCAAACCCTTTTCTCTGTGCAACAAAAGACCGTTTTTCTCCGAGGATTTGCCCTTTCTCTGCCTCATAGCCTGTGCTGTCTTGATAACGTATCCTGTGGTTTGCTGCCTCTCAGACAATGATATATAGGAAATGCCCTTCTAGGGCCAGTATAGGTCCTTGTGCAGCCATACCCAACTCTTACTGAAGCCAGGAGTGGGTGGTACATGTACAAGAGCTCTCTTTGGGCCTGGTGTTTGGATGTGCCAGAGGTGGTTTTTTCTATTGTGTTGGTTTTTTCTAGCTCACACGGCTCTTGAGAGTTTGCCCAGAGTTGGCAGAGGCAGTAGATGATTCTGAATGAAATGCACACACAGATACGTGGTAAGGCACAGAGACTCAGCAGAAGCTGTGCTTGGGCAAAACATCTCTGCTGCTCTGTTTTTGGCACTTGTTAAGCTGTTAATGTAAGCCAGCAAAGAGCTGTGGCACCAGGAGCTGTCCCTGATGTGTGAACCGAGCGTGATGGGCAGAATTGATCCCATGTGGAGCTGTGCTGGCAAGAAGATAATTCTTGCAAAGTTAGACTTTCCTGCTATGCCATGTGTTGGCCTTTCCTTATGGCTTTGAAGCTGCAGTAATACCAAGGTCTGCACCCCTTACTGTGAGGTGTCACTGCCTTTAAGAGCATCTCATAGATAAGACAAGGCAGGGGAATGAAGAGGCGTCAGCTCCACAAGGGTGAGAGCCTGAGGAGCAGAAGGCACTGACACCTTGCTTAGGAGGTGTTTGCAATCCAGCAGATGCAGGTTCTTTGTCTCCTGAGTCAGAACTGGGTAATCCCGCAGCTGGGCAGAGACTCCAGGGAGCTGAAAGGGAGAGCAGCATTTCAAATGCAGCATAAACCTGAAAGTCAGTCAATAGATGGACAGAAATGATCCCATGGTGTTCCCTGGAATGGGGATTTCACTTGATGGATAGTCAACAGGCAGGGATTTTTGTAGGAGAAACCATTCTTTACTTGCAGTCGCAAGGTATTTCACAGCATTTACTTCTGCTGTCATCAGGGTGGTTGCTATCAAGGGAGGCTCATAACTCCGTTCAGCTTTTCTCTTGGAGCCATGTTTAAAAGGAGATTTAAAGTGACTTCATGAAGAAAGGTGGTTTAGGGTCATGTTCTCAACATTTCTGAGATGTCTCATGTTTTTCTGCTGACTCTGCCATGTTAGCAGCAGCGAAAAGTCATAAAGCTGCGTGTTGTTGGCACAAGCACATGGGAAGGGGGGTAGATGTTCTGGGGGAAATTTGGTTATTTTTGCTTCTGCTGGACAGAAAATGTCTTCACTCCATGTCCCTGAAAAACCTCATGCAAAGTCAATATTTTCTTCTTTTTTTCCCCATAAACTTTTTCAGTGGAAATCACACACACACACGCACACACACACACACACTTATTTTGTGGGTCTCTTTTTTGGAAATGAATAAGGTTGCCATCTCTTAGTGACCAGCATCTGCAAATGTCCAGCCAGGAAACTGGTTAAAATGTATTGGGGTTCTGGATTATCAGATTACTGAGGGTTGTTTTTATTTACTTTGAGGAAATACATATTTCACAATATGACCCACAAATTATTCAAGAGTCCCATTCCAGAATCACTGTTTCTGTAGGAACATTTACCAAAAGCTTTATTCTTTTAGTTTTAGGTGCTATCTGTGCTGTTAAGTTCACAGGGCCAGCACGTGGCTGTTAATGAGGTTGCTTCATCGTTAGCACATTCCCTGGCCAGCCCTGCACCAGTGACTGCCATCCCAGCAGTGCTCGGGTACAAATTGGGCTAGGATCCTGTTGCAGGAGTTGGGATGGATGAGACCCCTCTAGTTTGAGAAGAGGAGGAGAATTTGGCTGTGCGTGTCATGCCAGCTGTTTTAAGGCTAGAAAATGGACTATCCTTCTTATTAGTATAGAAGTACCTTATAGATGGGTGAAGCTTTGGGAAGGACCTGCCAGGGCAGGCAAAGGGTGAAGCCAGGGAGCGCGGAGAGAAGCCAAGGCTGGCACAGGGGAGCTGGCTGTACGTGCAACACCATGAACTCTGCACATACTGCACAAAAGACACTTCTTAAATAAAAGTAACAGAAGGGAACATGAAAGACCCCAGCAGATGCCAGCAGTGACTGCAAGGCTCCGTGCTGGCCTGCTTCACCCTGCCTGGGACGTGCTGTGCTTTAGTGTCCAACATATGGCTTTACATTAGTGTGTGTAACATGGAGCAGGAATCCCTTCCCAAAGCACCTTGCTCCAAAGGGTAACTGAGGTCAGCTGCTTAACCAGTGCCAATCTGCAGAGTTTCTCTGAGTTCAGGAATCCTGAATAAAGCTGCTGAGGTCTGGCCAGCATTCGACTTAGAAATAAGTGACTCACAGCCTGCCCCGTCCCAGTCTGAGGACTGGAGCTGACATGTCCTGGGGCCTACAGGATTACAGGCCCTTGGGGGTCTCCTCTCTCTGCCTGATGCTGCTGCTGTTTGAGTATTAGGTCAGGTGTGCAGATGTGTCAGGCACATCTGGATTTATCTGGCTGTTTCTTTCTCTGCCTCTGGGTGGGTAAAGCAGCATTATCTACTATATCCAATATGCCTTATGTTGCTCCCACTATGAGTTAAGCCTGCCATTGAGCACCACAGTTGTTCACGCTCCCTGGCCCCTATGTTCCACACCACCCCCCCCAGCAGCACTGAGGTTGCCTGAGGTTTGGTTATTGGGGCTGGAGGGAGCTCTGCTCCCACCACCTCTCTTGTTCCTACCAGGCAGATGGGCATGCATGGATGTAAAGCAGCAGCAACCAGTGCTCCTGAAGGTGTGAAGCTGCATAAATTGCTTTGAGCAGCTTTTCCACCCAAACAGCCTGACCAAAAGGGATCTGGTTCAATCCAGCAGTTTCCAGGCGTGCAAAAGCCCGAGCGTTTTGTTTAACTTCCTTGCCTGCTACGTCTTATCCCCTTTTACAGTTTTTGGCAGGAAATGTGACTCTGGAAGGTCAAACACAACTGACCTGATGACTGGAAGTAGTTGTTACAGGCAAAGGCTTAATGTGAGATCATGCAAAGTGTTTGCGCTTGTGATAAATCTCATTTAACTCCGTGGGTTCAAAATCAAACAGGACATGTACAGCTCTGTGTAAAATCCAAGTCGAAGACTTCCTGGGCAGTGGGTGGGTTGCTGCAGCGAGAAATCCCAGCACTGCACGAGCAGACCCACACCTCATAGCAGCAGTAACAGAAATACTCAACAGAGCTGAGATACAGCCCTTACACCACCCCAAGTCCTCCAGCAGCTTTTTGGAGCCAGAGCCACCCGAATGCCTTTATGCTGCATTCTGGATTGACATCTGCTAAGCAAACCGGGGGATGATAAGGCAGTGATTTATCCAGGGTGCCCGAGGCGTTGAAGGGTTAAAGGTTTGTTTATTTATCTTCAAAGAGAGGATGCCGTACTTCCCAACCGGTTTTGTTTTTCGGGCTGGTGGAAAGCCAGTTCATTATGAGCGCCGCAGCACTCGGGAGATTCTCTCCCCTTGATCTTGGCGTTACTTCAGTTGGGCTTTTTTTCGCTGCGTTCTTATCCTGCAGGAAATCTGTGAAGGAGAAAATAGGAAGAAGAAAAAAAGTCACTCAAAGCCGTATGACTTTTCTTTTTACAGTCTGAGCAAGGAGTCTGGAGGGAAACGTACCGTGGGACAGAGATACCTGTGTATTTGGTATAAATCCAGCCAGCCTGATTTAGTGATCTTTAATGCTGGTGTGACACTCTTAATGTTAGAAGCTCCTGATGTGTTTCAGTTCAAGTGAAAGGTGAGGACTTTGCCTTGAGGTGTTGATCTCGCTGATGGATTCATGGCAGGGATCAATCTGGCCCAGTAACTCAGATGCAGAATAGCAGCAGCAGAGGCAGAAGTGTTGTGTTGATTGATCAGCATTGACTTTTCATGATGGGATAGGCCCCTTCCAGTACCTTTCTCTTGCAATATTGTGCTTAGGCTGGGCATGTTGTTACCAAATGGTAGCAATGAGCCAAAAAGTTAGCAAAAATGCTGCAAAAATAAATACAAAGTGTAAGGAAATGCATCTCTCTGTGCTTTCTAACTGTTCAAGGATGTGTGCTTTTTTAGAAGTCTGCTTGAAAACAAGTTGTTGTGTTGTGTGAAGACTCACATTGCGCAACACCAACTGGTTGAAGCTCCAGCGCAGAGCAGCACGGGCCTCCGTCAGCAGTTGCTGGCCATGAAGTGATGACAGCCCAGGGCTGGAGGGGAGGGACTGCAGCAAGACAAGCAGAGCCAAGCCTGTGCATCTGGGCTGAGGGAGGGCAACGCTCGCTGAAAAGGCACAAGGAATTGGTTAGGGTGGATTTGGGGGAGTAATGGGGAAGAAGGAGATGTTTGACATGAAGAGGATGCGAAATTCCCTGTGAGGGGTGAAAGAGAAACCCCCTTTGCCAAACAGGTTTGGCGGGTGCCTGCGAAAACCCTGCTCCCTGTGCCAAGGTGTGCGATGCGGTGCAAAGCCCCAGGGCTTTCCAGGCAGCTCTGACTGGTGTGGAGGCTCTGCCAGCAGCAATTGTGGAGCCTCCAGTGCTACAGCCCTCCCTTGGCAGGAGATGGGACGGCCCGATCCCCTAGGTCATTCCCCTCCCTGTGGTTTTTGGATTTGAGGGTTGGTTTTCCTTCCTCTTTCATTTACGGAAAGAGGAGAGAAGAGGGGTATCTGAGTGCAAATTGTTTTCCATATATGCAGTGTTTAAGTGAAGTTGCAGCGGGTTCACCCGGGCTGTTTCCCAGTGATGTGATCCAGGGAGGAAATGCCCAGAGGTCAAAGAGTGGAGGTGGGTTTGGAGTTTGCGTTTTGCTTTGAGATTGACTGATTGTATCACCACAAAACTCCGGAGCCCTTTTCTCTCTGGCATTGACAGAGCATCTGGATACAGCGCACAGCTCTTAGGGTCCAGGGTAGGTTGAGGGTCAAGCCTGCTGGGTATTTTGTGGCCTCACAGTAACAGACTGTCCCTGTTATAAAAGCTTTCTAGGATGCCCATAAACAGTATCACATCTCCAGCCCCTCTGTTCCTTCCACACAAGTTCAAAGCCAGCAGCATCTCCAGGAGGTCTGTAGTCCCTGGAAGGAATTGAATGTGGCAGGTCCTCTCTTTGATCCATGTCTTTCTCATGTCCTAGGCTCTCTGCACACCGGCCGGAGCTCTCCACCCCCGGGGAGCGTTCCTGAAGAGCAGCAGCAGATCGCTCGCCAGGGATCCTACACCAGCATCAACAGTGAGGGCGAGTTCATCCCCGAGACCATGGACCAGAACGTAAGTGGGGCCAGGGCGTGTGGGTTAAACTGGGGCAGCATCAGGCACGAGGCAGGCTGTACTGGGAGTGCCGTTGCCACCGGTGGGCTCTGTGTGTGGGGCTCAGACTAGCTTTTTCCAGGAATGGATGCCCTTGGGCTTGACAGGCTCAAGAAACAGCGGCTCTGATTTCCAGGAACCCTGAAAGTTGTCTGCAGTGGTGATGGCAACATGCCCGAGCACCTCAGGTAGCCCTGGAGGAGCGTGGATCTGGCACACATGTGCGCGCCAGCTGCCGGGACCTCACGGCCGCAGCCTTCCCAGGTCCTGGGAACCATGAGGGAATGTACCAAGAAACCGATTGCCTGCGATTGCAACAGCCTGGGGATGTCAGCAGCTCTTGCTGCTTCCCGTGAGCTGTTTCTGCCTGAGCTTTAGTTACAGCTCTTGGCTCTGCCCACAGCTTCTCTCTCTGGTTTTGTGTCTCTGTCCCTCTCCCATGTATTTTTTTTTCCTCTCTTAATAAGGAGTTTGTATATTCCAGTCCCTCAGTAACAAAAGAGCAGCTAGTTCATCATCACAGCAATGAGCAGCACCTCTTCCTCCAGTCAATTTGGTACCCACGATGGGGGACACTGCAGTGTCGAGGGACCAGAAGAGGAGCAGATTATGCCTCCCTCACCATTTGCATCTCAGCTAAAGCTACGGCTCCAAAGAGCTCTGTATAGGTCTTGTGAAGTCAGCTGGGCTGTCTGAGCACACAGTTCATTCTTGCAAAGCTTTTGGAGGGGCAGGACCAAGATCCACAGTTTGCAGGAGGGACATGGAGGGACATCTGGAAGGCACTAAGCTCACTCCAGCAGGCTGCTGTGGTGGCCTCCAAGGATCTTGCCTGGGGAGATGTGTATTTCCTGCGTTCAAGTAGCACCCACTAGCTCCGCTTTAGTGTGCGTGCTGTGCCAGTGTTTCCATGGCAAAGTTGTGTTTTCAACGGTTTATTATATAGCCATTAATAAAGTAAGAAGTCACTCCGGGTGAGTCTTGGCAGTGTCAGAGTGCAGATGTATCTTGTGCTCCTTGCAGCCAAAAGTTGGCTTTCTATTGTTTTCACATGCCTTCCAGACACGTTTGGTTGGATTAAGACAAATTGCGTGTGCGTGCAGGAGGAGGGTCCGCATGAACCCCCCCTTGGGTGTAAATCAGCGCAGCTCCATGGACTGGTAATGGAGCTCTGTTAGTGCTCGCTGAGCTCTGAGCCTGCTCCTGATGAAGGTTCCCAGATGCTCTCTTTGCTTTTCCCCAGCATGTGGGTGGCCTGCTGCCCTTCTCTGGCAAATTAAATGCAGGAAAAAGGAGTTTTGGGGGTGTGTTGGTTTTTTTTCCTCTCTCATTGAGCAGCCATGCTTTGCCCCATATGGTCTTTGCTCTCAGAAAGTCCTCGTGCTGCAGCTTCCATATGGGCCTCATGGAAAACCACTCACAAGCTGGTGCTTGCTGCTTTTTGGGGATGGCCTGTGATGTAATTGCGGTCTTTGCCTTGAGACCTGGTTGGCAGATGGACAGACGCCGAGTATGGAGCCTGCTTGGACTTCCAATTTTATGCTTTCAAGAAATGAGTCCATTTCAGCATTATTTTAACTGCTGGGAGAGACTTGGTATGGCTGGTGGAGAGTAGGGTCTAGCAGGGGTCTTGCTCCTCTTTGGCTGGAGCACTTTGAAGGACAAGGCTTTGGGGTAAAAAAGAGGGAAGCAGAGAAAAATCCCACTTTCCAATTGGGACCGTCCTGCCAAAACAATGCGAGCTGTTATGACAACTGATGTGGGTCTGGGAAGCAGCGAAGGGTGACTGCAGGTGGTGTTTAACCCTCATGGCTCAGCTTTCCTGGGATTGACCTGGGTCTGGGATTAGCGAGTCCCCACCATGGGTCTGCAGCCAGCAGGACACATGGTGCCAACCGCAGCACAGTGTGGCCCTGAGCAAGCTCTGCTCCGTGTAGAAGTGCACATTGCCCCTCGGTTTGCCACTCAATACAAACCCTCTATTGTTACTGAGCAGCTATAAATAACCCCGTCCAGCACAATGTCTCATCCAGGAAGCAACACAAATGCAGCTTTTGACTCACTGAGCTAGCAAGAGCCAAGCCAGTTCCTCCAGCCAAAAGCCCTGGTGATGCTTTGCTTATCACTGGAGAGGAAGGCTGGGCCCATGTGCCAGGGCAGCTTGGGGAAGTCAGGAGTCCAGGGCTGTGATCTTGGCTGTGGAGCACAACATCCACGCGGCCTTGGGCACATCATTTGTGTCCTGATACTTTATTATTACTATTATTTTTTTCACAAGCGCTTTGAGCACTTCTGACTTCTCAGCATGGTTTGGACATCAGGATGCTAATGATCTTTGCCTCAGTTTCTCTACTAGCAAATAGCAGTTGGAAAGAGCAGTAATCCAGAGAGGGCATCGTAAATGGATTTCCTCTGGGAAGAAAACTTTTGTTAGGTTGGATGTCATCTCTACTGGAGCTGGTGTAAATCCATGGGCTTCAGTTGACCTGCAGAGGTCTGCTAGCACTGGAGCTTGAAGAGTGCATGGTTTTATTGTTTCCCCTTTTCTTTCACTCTCAGATGCTTGAAGCTTTCATCAGTCCCGATGGGTCACTGTCTGGGAGCTGCCAGTCGCTGGACAGATCTGTGGACAGGTGAGTCCTGCATGTCCCCATGTTCACCAGCTGAACTGCAGCCTCCACTCCATAGCAGGAGAGGAACAGGGTCAGTGGTATCCTCTGAGGTTCCTGTTGGGATGAGGATGCAGCTGAGTAAAACAAGTTTATCCCGAATGCTAAAAACGAGGTCCTACTGCAGACATCTGTGTGATGGTGTGATTCAAACTGCAGGAATCTGAGGTGGACAAAGTAGCTGGGGATCTGGGGACAGCCTGGCTTTGTGTGCCCAGGTTTTCTGCCTCAGTCAGATCCCTCTCCTACCCTATGGCTTTCTGCAGTCACTGGGTCAATACTGGTTTATATATTTATATATACATATATATATATACATCTCCAGTGCATGGAGACTTAGCCTCTCCATGCTTCCTTCTACTCCCCAGGCATGCTGTCAGCTCCATTGTCAGCTTGTAAATTCGACAGCCCCTGTGTGCTGCCAGCAGCCGCAGATGTGTCAGTCAAGGTGCTGAGGACACCAGAGGAGGAACAACTAAGTTTAGCTTCTCAGCAGAAAGTAACTAGGACACGTTGTACTAACACAGGCTGCAGTTCAATAGTTGGTGCGGGTGGTTGGTCCAGGCTCACACGTGCACAGCAACTGTATGTCTGTGCATGATAGGCTGTGTGTAAGACACGGTGTCCTTTTGGGAAGCTGTATATATTTTTTTCCATCTGCATCAAAGATTTTCTTTGTTTTTCCCCTGTTCCTTTTGCCGTACACCATCAGGGCTGCATTCCAGCAGGTCTGTGCTGTGTTGATTTGGTTGTGTGGCGTGCTGCGGGTTTGCAGCTCTGTGCGCTTTGGATCTGTCTCAGCAGCAAGGTCCATTTCCTTTCTGTGGCTTTTAATAATTTCCTGTGATGCATTTGCTCATTGTTATGGCTCTGTCGAAGCTGGATTCCTTGTGCTCCCGGCCTCAATGCCCCAGCTTCGCTTTTCCATGGATTTTGCTAGGAAGAACAACAGAAGGAGCACGGCCTGGTTACAGTGCTTTATCATGAACCAAGAGAAGAGTGTTAGACATGTTTGTGAGAGGGAAATATGGCCTCATTTCACACACAAACAGGCAGCTGTGTTCAGTCATGGGGTCTCAGAGCTGAAAAAGGGACGAGGAGGGCTTCTTCAGAGGCAGAAAGAGGAGGAAGTGTGAGTATTCCTGCAGAGACGTAGCTGAGCCCTTGCTGCCAACTGCTTGAGATGGCGTTAGCCTCAAGAGGGCAGAGCAAGTCACCAGGCATGGTGACCAGTCTGATGCTGAGAAATAGCATGACAAATTCCTCTTCCCCTAGCAGACCTGTCGTGGTCAGCCAAATCCACTCTTTGATCAGTGCATCTGGTGGTATAGCCTGTCCTAGCTGAGTGTAATCACTTCCTAATTCATTTCACAGTCTTTCTGGTATAATAAAATGTATCTCTCTCTTTTAATCCCTTTGCAGCCCTCCCTTTACCCAAACCCCTGTTCCTGGAAGGAAGAGTCATCCCAAAGACAGTCTTGACTGCCTGGGTAAGCACTCTTGTGGATTCGTATTTGCTTAAAAGTATAAAAAAGAATGTAATAAAGAAGCTGGATAAAGGCTGTTAGAGGAGTGGCACTGCATGAAAGGTAATTAAAAAAATCAAGCAAACCAGCTCCATTGCTTAGGTTACTGCAAAATGACCCTGCAATGATCAAACATGATTGTTCTCTAAAATCTAAAGACCCAGAGCATCAAACACAGGCAGGGCTGCTCTTGCCATCATTAACCCTTCTTGGCTCTGCAGCAATAGTGGTAGCATTAAAGAAACTTTGGGCCTGGTTTGGGAACCAGTTTGCAGCAAAACCAGTCCAAACTGGGTGGCCAGGGCCCTGAAGCAAATGGATGCAAGCAAGTAAAGCTGTTGAAAGACCAGGGATGAGCTGTGTGTTGGAAGAAGGTGATGAGGGGGCCTTGCTCTTGTATTTGGAAACAACTGGGAGGCGCGGAGAAGCTGGAAACAGCCTCGTGGCATCTCCTTTTGTCTCTGTTAGTACCTGCGAGTTGCACTTTCAGGATCCCGATGTCCTACATAGCCAGACCCAAGTCCCAAATCCTCTAGGGAGTTTTACTTCTTCCGCTTGCATTAAAAGTAATCTGTAATAATGCAAAGAATAGAGAAGCTGTATTGGTAACTTGCAAGGATACTGGGTTACTGCTTAATCACTTCTGAACATCTAGCTGGTTAAATCATGGAAACTCTGAAATATCATAGTGACTTTCCCTATTAAAAATGAACAAATGGCAGTCAGCCTGCAGCCCGATAACTCAGTTCTGGCCTGAGGCAGGGTGTCCAGATTGAAATACAAACACGAAGCTGCAGTCAGTCCACGTTGCTGGAGGTTATAATGCATCCCTAGCGGTAGGGGAGGCATTTTGCTCCGAGACACCACTTGGCATCGTCGCTCACACGTGGCTCGCCCAGAACCTCTTGCCCTGTCCTTGTTGCTTTTCTTGCTGACCATATTTCAGCCGTTATGTGCTCCTCTTGCACGCTGCTGTCATGGGGAAATCATGCCGAAGCACGGCTGAGGCCAGGAACGGTCTCCAAGGAGCCACTGCTGGCCCCAGGCTAAGACAAACAAACAATCAGAACGGGCTGTGTCATTGGGGCTGGATGGAGGAAAAACAGGAGGTGAAAGATGGGGGGAGGGAAATGATAGATATTTTAATCTCAAGTTATTCAGTGCTACTAGCAATGGCTTCCTGTGCTGCGTTTTTTTCCTTAAAAAAGATGCCCTTATCTCACATGCCCATCCATCTCTCTCATAATCTTGCATCTAATCTAAACTCTGATGGTCTTGAATCCCTTCTGTATATTCTAAGTCTGTCTTTCCAAAGTAACTGAAGTAAATATAAGAGTTTGGAGCTCTGGGAGTAATAAACTGGTCTCGGGCTTTTAGAGGTTAGGAGTCGCATCTGAGAAGAAAGAGGGCAGGGATTGTCCGGTGTTAGCCAAGGATTTTTTGCATTTCCCTAGAAATAGGTGATATCAGAGCAGAGGTTTTGGAGTAGATGGATCTGGGCCTGACCTACCCAGCAGTTCTGTTTCCACACTAATTTTTGTGTTTTCCATGTGAAGATAAGATGTATAGTGCTGTGTTTATGTTAATCCCCTGCCTTGTGTTTGACCAGTGTGGGCCAGGGTCCATCAAGTCAGCAGTTAAACCTCTTTGCTTTCTGGGGACCGAGGCTGGTGTGTCTAACCCTCATTCTCCTCTAGGGAGTGTGTGACTGTGGACAGATTTTGAAGTGTATGGTTGTGTAAATGAACAGCGTATCACCTCGTTCTTGCCTGTAATTTAGCATGAAGACCACAACACTGTCCTGTAAGAAATGCTCTGGGCATTTGATGCTGATCTCAGAAACACGTCTCTTCTTCCCTCCTGACAGATTTCGACATCCCGTTCTGTGAGAGGTTTGGGAAAGGTGGGACCTTCCCGAGGCAGTACCACCTCTCCCAGAGTCGCAAGGACTACAGTGATGGTAAGCAGTGATGGAGGGAGGTGCTCAGTCCAGGATCTTGGTGGGTTGTGGCAGTGCCCAGGACTGGAGAGCCTTGGGAAGGAGAATTTTCTATTACAAGGAGGAGAACCAAGTAATTTGGGATTCACTTGCGTATTCTGAAGAGCTTCGTCTGTGAGATCTTGCAGGTCTGCTCTTGGGAAGTGCTGAGCAGCTACAGCATGTGTGGAAGTCAGTGCTCAGCTCCTTCTCTGCTTATATCTTAGTGTTTTAACTTAGCCACGTTCATGGTAGCATTTCTCATCCCTGGCGATATCAACCTTTCTGTTCCCCTAAATGGCTTGCTTTTGAGGATGCTGCTTTGTGACCTTCACAGCAGGTTTCTCACAGAGCTGTACGAAATCCCCTAGCAATTTCAGGGTAGCAGCATCTGCTCACATCTCTGTTTCAAGCTGGGGAGCTCTGAGCTTTGGGGATCACTCCATCACCTCACTGCTGCACCTTCTTTTGCTGTATGAGACTGCAAGTGATGGGAGACAAAACTAAATAAGAATCAAATTCACTAAAAAAAATAGTGAGGACATGCAGACAGCATATTGAGCCTTCCAGAATGAACTTCATCTCTCACTGACACCACCCTTGTGCAAGCAGTTACCATGAGATCTGGCGTTGCTTGCATGATCATTTGTACTGTGGTCTTAGGGGATGCCAGGGGTAATTTGCAATGTAAATCCTTGCCTGATCAGACTTTAATTGTGATTAAAAGCCAACAAATATCCTAATGTAGTTAAACTGTTGCAAGCCCCTCTGGAAACATACACATTAGATGTAATGCTTGCTGTTAACAACTCTTAAATTGAATTGAAAATGTTCACAGGGCTTTGCTTCAGTTCCATTAAACTTGTTTGGTTTAATTTGAAGAGGTGCATCACTGGGTCTGGGCAGTGATGTGAGAAGGTGGTGCTAGGTGGATCCAAGCTGGTGTGTGTGTTCTTGCCATAACTCTCTCCCTTTTCTCCCACAGGCCGCAGGACTTTCCCCAGGAGTTACTTCCCACAGGAGAACCTGTTTCAGCTCGTCCCTTCCAGCCGAACCAAAAGCTTCAATGGTGACAGCAAGCTCAGCACCTTGCAGTATGACGAGTGCAGGCCCAAATGGTGGAACAACTGTGAGAAAGGCCTGCAGGTCTTCAGCACCTCCCCTACGAAAGCTCGGAACTGTAAGTGAACCAAAGCCGCCGGTGTCTGAGGTCTTGGTACATCCAGGTCTCCACACAAAATCGAGTTACTGTGTTCATCACTTGCGGAGTTGCAGAGAATTGCTTGTGTGTGGGACTGTCAGTATGCCCACACAGCAGAAGCTTCTAGGAGGCTTTGGATGTGGTAGCAAAAGCATCCACAGGCTCTGTTCCTTGGCTTACATTGCTGTCACCCCAGCACCCAAAGCTGGTGTTGCAGGATGCTCTGCTATTGCAAGACTGCCCATGCTATAGAAATGGGTGCATTCTGTGCCTGTTCAGTGATGGATAACAACCTAGGAATGACCAGTGAGATAAAACTCATTACTGGTTCCTGTGTGTGTTGCTGCTCAGCTGTGCTGCATCCTGCTAACCCCTCCTGTAGCAGCGGAGAGAAAGTCCAACATTGGCTAAGAAAGCTGTTTTTGGAGGAAAGACTCTTAAAGAAATGTAACTATTCTGGGACTTGTTTCTGCTTTATACTAATGCATACTGAGAGACATCTCCCCCACACACCAGTGGCACCAGTAGCACTAGTGCAATCAAAACTGGCTTGTCCTGGTGCCCCTGGCAGAGGGTGGCTCACTGCCTGCCCGAGTAAGCTCATTGTGAGCCTGATCTGTGCTCTGTGGGGTCAGATGGACTCTGATGCTGAAGTCTCCCTGCTGTGCTCTGCTCTCAACCCTCCTCTCTCCCATAGCCCTGCAGGCACCTGTGAACTGGAGGCTGGGGAAGCTGCTGGGAAGAGGAGCTTTTGGGGAAGTTTACCTCTGCTACGATGCTGACACGGGCCGGGAGCTGTCGGTGAAGCAGGTGCCTTTCGACCCTGACAGTCAAGAGACGAGTAAAGTGAGTACAGGGCTGGCTGGAGGCTGAGGGTAGAGGTGGCAGAGGGGTTCGTGTCCCTGATGGAAGGCAGTGTGTGCAGACAGGATGTGGTGTTTGCCCTCTTCAGAGTGGTCCCAAATGGCTTGTGGCATCAGTCAGCATGCTCTGGTGACTTCTCTAATTCCTTGGTCATGTTGGCCTGCTCTGTCTCAGGTATCATCTCTTGCAGGGCTGCCTGCTCTTCCCTTGTTTCAGCCTTCTCGCTGCCTTCACTTTCATTCCACTCTGGCCGCTGCATTAGCTTTGCTGGTGTCTTGATTCACACCTTTCCAGATAAACTCCTTGAGCACAAGTAGTAATAACAATACATAAACATATCACAAAGCCCAGCCCTTGTGTATCCCGTCTGTCTTTCTCCTCACCCTTTTCTTAGGGCAGGGCTCCTCATTTCTGAGCCTTGTGTGACTGATGTCCTCATGAGCAGCTTCACAGGTGCTGTGAAAAGAGTGCTCAGCATTGAGCAATATTTGGATAATATTCCCTAAGTAACCATTCCCTTTCGTCACGGAGCACGTCTGTTTTGTTGCAGGAGGTGAATGCCTTGGAATGTGAGATTCAGCTGTTGAAGACTCTCCGTCATGATAGGATAGTGCAGTACTACGGGTGCTTGCGGGATCCTGAGGAGAAGAAACTGTCCATCTTCGTTGAATACATGCCAGGGGTGAGCTGTGGTTCCTGCTGCAGATTTCCTGCTGAAGATTGTCCTGAGCGACAGAGAATGGATTTAGACTGCCCTGGAGTTCGGTGAAGTTTGGATCTGGAGTTAAACTGCTCTGTATCTGATCAGCCAAACCAAAACAGTGGCTGCATCCATAAGGCTTGGGGAAAGCTTAAGTTGGGAGTGAATCGTTGTGAAGCCCCTCAACATGCAGTGGGTGAAATCAGAAGCCTTGAAGGCAGATTTTGGGTTTGAATCCTGGAGCAGGGTGTGTTCACAGTCTGGAATCTGAACGTGTTGAATGTGGGACGTGATCCAGACTCCAAACACTGTGGCCTGAGCCTATCCTTAAGTATTTATTGCAAATCCCTGCAGGAAGAGCTCATAGTACAACTGTCCACCCACAGCTGTCACCAATTATTTAAGGCTTTCAGCATGTGTATATCAGAACCACTGCTACTCACTTCTCCTGTTCAGGACAGGGCTTCTTGTTGTAGCATTATCCTCTCGTGCAGGACTGGGTGCAGTTTGTGACTTTACTGATAGAGGATGAAGTTGCCCTGGGGAAAAAGAAGATCAGAAAGCTTTGAGAGAGTGTAAGCAGGGGCTGGAGAATGTACACAGATTAATTGAACATCTCTTTCTCTGCAAGCATGTGAATTAACATCAGCCCTCTGGACAAAGTATAAACCAGCATAGCACTATTTACACTACTGGAGGATCCGCTCTCCTAAGTCCTGCCTGCTCAGCTGGACTCATTCCCCAGAGTGTGGGAGAATAAGCCCTTGTTTATACAGAGATCTGTAAGGTCAGAAGGGACTATTAAGTCATCTGGTCGCAAGTGATTGTGGTCATTAGTAAACGTGCTAGGAGCTCTGCAAACGTGAGTAATCAGGTGGACTTCCATGCGTTTGAGCTCCTTCCAAGCTCGGTGCTCCCTCTCTCCCTGTGGGCAGACATCTCACTTTCAGGCCGTACCACGGGGCATGGACCCAGAGGAGTAAACCCCGGGAGTTTCAGCAATCCCCTTATTTTGCAGTGTGCCGATGTTTGTTAGCAGCCAGGAAACCAGCATTTGATGCTGGGGCAGTGTCCAGCTGGGCTGGAAGTTGAGTGTTTGTTTTTTTAATGATAAACCAGAGCTCTGACCAAATACAGATTGACTTCCCTGCTGCAACAACGGCTCAGTTCACAAAAGCAGCCCAGGGCTTTGGTTTCCAAGGCCAGTGGAAGTGAATGAATTCCCAAACCTTGCAGGACATCAGCTCTGCAACGCTGGGTCTGGCCAAGCTTCTGATTTAGCACAGCCAGCTTGGCAAAATCTTCACGGGGCCAAGCTTGGGTGCACCATTGGCCTGGCATTCTTATGGTTGCCCCCATTAAAGAGTTGACTTTGTATTTTCTTTTCTGCCCTGCCCATAAACTATATATTTTTTAAATTTATACTTGGAAAACAGAGTGATCTCTTTGACCAGATGTCTTGAAGACCCTCCTTGTTTGATGTCCCCCCATCAGGGTGAGGGAGGCCAGGATAAAAACGCTTGTTTGGTGGTGGGTGCAGGAACATACCCTGCATACCAGTTGTATATAATTTCAGAGCATCTCAGGTTACTTCAGCAGCACTCTGAAAGGGAAAGGAGAGGCCCATCCACAGGATCACCACCAGCCCAAAAAGAAGGCTAAAACAGTAGCTGGGCAGAGCAACAGCAGAGGTGGGTGGCTGTGGAAAAGCTGATACAGTTTGAGTGATGGACTTGGAGCAGAGCAGCCCACTGTTCCCAGAACAGGACTATGGCAATCTTGGCTCAACCCCAGAGCTGCAGGACAGGCAGAAACAGGATGAGTTTCCCCTCCAGCTAGCCTGGTAAAATCAAACCAGTAGGAGCCTGCATGTCTGGGTCAGGAATTCAAGGCTGGGTACTTCGAAATTGGCCACATTGGGTCTTCTCGTTGAAGCAGTCCCATCTGGGGCTGATCATGTCCCTCATGAGTCTGCCTGCCTCCTGGCAATGGGTGGTCTTTGCTGTGAGAAATTGTGAGGGGAGGCTCCATAGAAAACTGACTCTGAAGAGCTGGTCGAGCTGGTCCCCTCAACTGAGTTGTAGCTCCTCGTCAGTTTGGCCCCTCTCCAGCCACTAGAGGGGGAAAAAGATCTGCAGCGATGGCAGAAGGTAGCACTGATACCCATCAGAGACCGTACCTGTTTCTCCACTGGGATCTGGGACGCAGGAGACAAGTCCTTGCGCCATTCAGCACTTAGTGGATTTTTATCTTGCTGTTTCTACAACACAGGGTTGTTTTCTTCCTCAAGCTGGAAGGCAGAGTGGTCAGGAAAGTTGGAAAAGTCACTGTGACGTGATGTACCTGGTCCTCCTGGTCCTCACAGTTGATGTGTGTTGTTTGTTTGCAACAGGGCTCCATAAAGGACCAGTTAAAAGCTTACGGTGCTCTGACCGAGAACGTCACACGGAAGTACACCAGGCAGATCCTGCAGGGAGTCTTTTACTTACACAGCAATATGATTGTCCACCGGGACATTAAAGGTGAGTACTCACATAAGAGGGGCTTATTGCTGGCTTGGATTTGTTCAACCCAGTGTCCTTCCACTCCAGTATAAATCCTTGTGCAAAACACAGTGCTGGGATCTGGTATTTAGAGTGTGGTTGGCCTTCACCAACTTGAGCCATGAGAATCTTGAACAAGCAGCTGAAACCAAAAGCTTGTGCTATCTTCCTGCTTGGGAAGCCCAGATTCAGTACTGGAGAGGGATTTTTGTTCACTGCCTTTACACATCTGAAAACCTGGTGTAGAACTGAGAGACCCTGGCATTCAGAGGGCTTTACTTGTGGGGAGGATGATCTGTGGTCTCCCATTGCCCTTCGTGCTCTCCTCGCTGTAGCCTCTTCAGCTCACATTGCTGCTTTTGTCTCTTAATGTTTTTGTTTCTTGCTTTTCACCCCTAGGTGCCAATATTCTGCGAGATTCTGCTGGAAATGTGAAACTTGGAGATTTTGGAGCCAGCAAACGCATCCAGACCATCTGCATGTCTGGGACTGGGATTAAATCTGTCACGGGAACACCGTATTGGATGAGCCCAGAGGTTATCAGTGGAGAAGGCTACGGCAGGAAAGCTGATGTGTGGTAAGGAATACAGCAGGAACCCCACCACTGCCACTGAAATCAAACGATCCCTTTAGGAAGTTGTAATGGGAGTAACAGGTGTAATAAGTAGTTGGAAGATGGAGCAATGTGAAGGATGGAAATGGGAGCTAAATGTTAGGATCAACCATGCAGATACCCAGAGGGACCATCTTGTAGCTGAAAGTCCCGAAACAGCAGCACTGAGTCACAGTTTGCTTTTGGACGCTCTTATCACGTATGAGGGCCATGTGCAGCTTGACCCTGTAGCTGCCCCTTTAATTCTGGAAAGTAGATTGATAACAAAGTTTGCCAAAAACTAAACTCTGAGCTTTAACTCTGAGCTAAACCCAGCTCAGAGGCTCAGGGGGATCTTGTGCAGCCTCTCAAAATCTGCGGGATGTTTGCATGGGACTCAGGTACGACGACAACCAAAATCATCAGCTGCTTGTGGGTATTTTGTCTGTGGAGGATGTCAGCTGGAGCCTGGAAGAGTTGGGACAACGCTACTAAACATCTCAGTAAATGAGGAAGAAGCACTGTCTTTGCAGTGTGCTTTCCATTGGGTGCCCAAGCAAGTAGGGTCAACAAAAAACAGTCCCTCCAATGGAGCCCTGCTTGAGGGGGAAACCTGGGGAGTCATCATCCATGTACCCTGCAGCTCCTGCTCTGAATGGAGGTGGCAGAGAGGGTCCCTGCTGAGATGAGGACTCCTCAGCGAGCAGAGGGAACCCTCTCAGGCTCTTTGCTGCTCATTTCGGGTGCTCCTCCTCAGATGCACGTCAGAGATGAAGGTGGATATAGGTGAACATGTTTCTTTGTGGGTCAGCTTTTTGGGGAACTCTGTGTGATTGCTGAAACTGTGGTGTCTAAACTCATGTCTGGGTTTCCCTTCAAGGGGTGATGCTCTGATAAGTTGTCCCACATCCTTTTATGAAGCCTAATACCAAGCAAGCACAATCCTAGAGCAAGTTAGGCTTCAAATGCACAGTGTCCTGGTATACTGGGACAGAATTTTAGAGTTGGTTTTCTGTTGAGGAAAGCTGCAGTTTTGTAAGGACCACAGCACTCTATTTCATGGGAACAAGGTCGATACAAAGTTTGTTACAGCTTTTCAGCTAATAATTCTGGTATGCAGGTTACCATAGCAATCAAGGTCTTTGACAGTCTTGAGTAACCAAGTGCAGAAGTTAGGAGGAGCAAAAGCCAGGGCAGATGGCCAAGCTGGCCAGAAGATTTATCCTATACCATAAACATCACATTCGCTATAAATTGGGGAGTTTGCTGGGGATGGCCCTTCTCTTCCTTCTTGTCTTCTCTTCCCCCCTGCTCCTTCTTCTCTCTTCCGTGGCTGACATCTCGAGAGGGACTTGTTTACCATCCTAACCCAGAGGCTCACTCCCCCACAATATTGGCTGATTATATTGTGTGTAGATATAGATATAGATATAGATATGGATATACAGATATATAGATATAGATATATATAGAGAGAGATAGAGATATATAGATATATACAGATAGAGATAGAGATATACAGATATATAGATATAAA